GGTCAAACCAACAAGAAAAATAATATTTTATGACAAAACATACGCGACCGAAATATTCTGGAAAAGAGCGAGTATCCTCAATAACGCGGGCCAACCCGCCACCAGAAGAGCCGAACTCCACAGAAAAGTAGGCAAAGTTTGGCGGAATTGCGCTTCTCGCTCCAAGACCTCCAGGCTTTAGTGCAATAACGCGTCGGTTTGCATCCCACTCTGAACCCATTTCAGAAAGGGCTTTCTAAAAAAGGCAATTAAAATTAAAGAGTAATTGAAAAAGGATGAATATATGGTGAAATTTGAGTGCATACAGACCTAATGCAAATAAGCAGTAAATAAGGGAAATGATACTTCAAATGAGACTAAATGATTTGAATATATTCAGTACATTATTGTTGGGACTTTCATTTCGTATGAAAGTGTGAAAGAAGAGGTTCGAAAGTCGATCTCACCTGAAAAGGACGGTTGAATCCCGTTGTACTGCAGCTGTTTGCTTTTATACATGCAGTCCACGGGACCTCCTCCCTCATTTCAGAACATCTTCAGAGCTGGGACCCATTCTTGTAAAATTCTCAAGTTACTACCCTGCCTTATCTTACTTCTTATAAAGTCCCATTTGAGAAAAAAGAGAATTTAAAAACATAGATTGATATAGAATGGTTTTCTAAATTATCTTTATTATGGTCACCTTCTTTAGGATGGCGGTTCAACACCTCTCTACATTCAATCTATTAATCAAGTATAATTAGTTCCTACTTAACCTTCTACCACAATTCTTCACATTCAACGTATTTCATAACCAATTAATTTCAATAGCCTCTCTTATCATTCTTTTAACCTCAGACGTATCATAATCAGCAAACGTACTCGTTTGAGACCATTTTATCCCATGTCTAATTTCTATCATGTGTTCGGCCACTTCTGACCGTTTAACCCAGCTTCCTTTACAAACATTTTTTTGTAGATACGAAGAAAAACTGGGTTTCGATGAATCTCCTGAGATAACGTTGTTAGAGGGACCTTCATTTCGTATGAAAGTGCATG